GTATGGATGAGTTCAGACCATCTAGAGGGCTTCGGCAGGGAGATCCGATTTCCCCCTATTTATTTTTGCTTGCTGCAGAAGGCTTATCGTGTTTGCTCAAAGCACATGACAGTGGGGTGGAAGGCATTTCAGTTGCTCCTACGGCACCCTCAGTAAATCACCTTCTGTTTGCTGATGATAGTCTCTTGTTTTTTGATGCTACTAGTGTCATGGCAGGGAGGGTGAGGGACATCTTGAAAATTTATTGTAATGCCTCAGGACAACGGAAAAATACCGAAAAGTCATCTATCTATTTTAGTAAGGGGGTTCCGGAGCAAGTTAGGGGTGATCTAAAAAATATACTCGATGTTCACAACGAGGCTCTGTCTGAGAAATATTTGGGTCTACCAACTGATGTTGGAAAGCAAAACAGGGATGTTTTCGATATTTGAAGGATAGAATCTGGAAACATATACAGGGCTGGATGGAAAAGTGTCTATCGGCTGGTGGGAAGGAAGTTTTGATTAAATCAGTCACACAGTCTATTCCAACTTATTTCATGGCCTGTTTTAAGTTGCCCCGTGGACTATGTGAGCACATCAATGGGCTACTACGGAAATTTTGGTGGGGTAGTAAGGGAGGTCAGAGGAAGCCGGCGTGGGTATCATGGAGGACTATGTGCAAACCTAAACATATGGGAGGCATGGGGTTCCGAGATATTGAACTTTTTAACCTTGCTTTACTGGCAAGGCAAGTATGGAGATTGCTCCAAGAGCCGAATACCCTATGCGCTAGGGTTTTAAAGGCTAGATATTACCCTGATACGAGTGTCCTTCATGCAACTCTGGGGGCTCATCCGTCCCAGGTTTGGCGATCTCTTTTGGAAGGGAGAGACATTTTGGAGCTGGGAATAATAAGAAGAATCGGTTCAGGTGCAGAAACACATATCTGGAACGACAACTGGTTACCACGCGATTTTAAGCTGAGACCGATTTGCCATGTCACACCTAATCCGCCGCAATGGGTCTCAGAGTTGATTGATCCGGTTACTCATTCATGGAGCAGACATCTGTTAAATGAGCATTTTATTGCGCCGGATGTGGACGTAATATTGAACATCCCCTTGAGCACGAGGGTGCAGCCAGACTTTTGGGCATGGCACTACGAGCAGAGGGGCTCTTTCTCCGTTCGATCGGCATACAGGATGATAAGTGGCATTAAACACCAAAGAGAAGATTGGTTGGAGCACAGGGCGGGACACTCAAATTTGGCACAGGAAAAGAAGTCCTGGTCGCATTTATGGAAAACTAAAATACCTTCCAAGGTAAGGGTTTTCGTTTGGAGACTTTCGCATATGTCGCTGCCCACAGGTTCAACGAGACACCAACGCAAGATGGCTACCACCCCGGCATGCTCTATATGTGGTGCAGAAAATGACTCCTGGAGGCATTCCCTTTTTGATTGTCGGATGGCACGCTGCGTTTGGGCGTTGGGAGACGAGGAGATTGTCGAGGTTATGCTATCCAATAGAACGGACGATGCAAGGTTGTGGTTATTCTGGTTGTTTGAAACTTTGAACCAGCAAGACCTAGCAAAAGTACTCATATCAATGTGGGCTATTTGGTGGGCGAGGAGAAGAGCCATACATGATGATGAATTTCAAAGCCCGTTGTCTACTTTCAGCTTCATAAATCGATATTTGGAGGATCTGAACATAGCTGCATCTATGAAGCCAATGGATAACACTACAAGTACAGAGAATCGGGTTCATAGATGGATTGCACCAGGAAATGATGAGGTAAAGATTAATGTTGATGGGGCTATATCTCGCAATGGTAGGATGGGAGCGGCCGCGGCGATCTGCAGGGACAAAGATGGTCACTATCTTGGCGCGTCAGCGGTCAGTATTGATGGCCTGGTGGGTGCAGCGAGCCTCGAAGCTCGTGCTTGCAGCGAGGCGCTTGCTCTGGCGAGAGACCTGAACGTCACACATGCGATGATAGCTTCGGACTGCCTGCAAGTGGTGAAAGATTTAAACGGAAGAACTTTTTCTTCTTACTCGCTGGTTCTAGATGAAATAAAGGAGTCCATGAATGACTTTGTAAAAATTAGTTTTCGTTACGAGTGTAGGGAAGCAAATTTGGAAGCTCACACCATTGCTAAGGCGGCTTCAGCGTTTCCCTCTGGTCGCCGTCTGTGGCTAGGGACCTTGCCAGACATTGCTTGTATTGCTCCGGCTTTGAACTTTTGAATAAAGTCCCTAGTTACCCTCAAAAAAGAAAACCCACCCCGTTTAGGAGATGAGGCAAAAAATAATTGACCGTTACTGGAATCAAACTCACAACCTACAGTGTTTGTGGCGTTGATTGTGTTACCCTAAAAATAGCGTTGATCATTTTAAAATAAAATTGAATTTAGTTTTTGTTTGTGTTCTTCACGGATTGGTACTAAATTATTATGATGTAAAATCCAAATAACATAAACACAAGGCACAAGTATTTGATTGTGCAGATGTGGGTCATGTGGCCGGGATCTCAAACGCGATCGTTCGCTGGTCTGTCCATGCAGGTGATGCAATTCTTTATTGGTTCCAAGCTTAGGTGGAATCTTCGCGTGTAATGGACATCGTTACCGACAATGATAACAAAGAAAAGAAGTGGTAACAGGGATGGGGTCGCTAGGGATGATAATTTACACGGGCACTTTTGCTTGTCAAAATTAAAAACAAGAAAGGAAAGAGAAAACTGAAAAGGAAACATAAAAATAAGGAAATAACATGAATTTGGAAAAACTTCATGGGCTCGAAACAAGCAAATGGAAAGGGAAGAAAAACGAAAAAACTTCACTCTCCGACATTGCGTGTCGCAACTAGATCGGTCGTCAGTTGTGTGTTGGGGTTGGACATGCAATTGGGTTGAGCAAATTGTGTGTCAATGTTGGAATGCAACTACATACGTGTATTTGGTTGGGTGCGTATGTCAAAGATGGACATAGAGACAAAAAGTTGTGTGTTAGAGTTGGACAAACAACTAGTAGTAGATACAAATACTGGGTCGAGTACGAGTTGCATGTCGAAAGTGGACATGCAACTAGATCAGGCATGAGTTGTGTGCTAATATTGAACACGCAACTAAATAAGGGTCTCAGGAATTTGATGATAGATATGTAACTGACACCACCAAAAAAAATAAAGAATTTAAAAAGTCATGAATTGGAAACAAATAGATTTATAATAGATAAAAGAAAAAAAGCAAACAAAAAAAACGCAGCCCAGCTCCTTCAATTCTGCCCGTACAAAAAGGCCTAGGCGCAGACAAAAAAAAAGAACAAAAACAACGGATCACAAGCACATATAACGTGATTCTAAAAAAACACATAAGGTCTTTTAGAGAAACCACATATAACGCAAAAAATTCCCACGTGCCCAGACCCGTACAGGAAAAGGAACGCTCCCATGTGCGCGATCGAAAAAGACACCCGTGACACGAGCCTTAGTGACAAAAAAAATATTTTGTACAAATCTTGAAGCCCCTAATTATGTGGTGAACAACTTATATGTGACATCCTTAAAAAACATCTACTCCCTCCGTTCCTAAATATAAGTCTTTATAGAGAGATTTTACTATGAACCACATACGGATGTATGTAGATGCATTTTAGAGTGTAGATTCACTCATTTTGTTTGTATGTAGTCCATAGTGAAATCTTTACAAAGACTTATATTTAGGAACGGAGGGAGTAGATGTGAATTAGTCATTCTGATATTTCTTACCCAATTTGAAGCAGCCACAAATTTCCACATGCATAGTAGTACATCATCTCCTGGCAGCATGACCAAATTTGATAACAAAGATGTGTGTGATTGCTAAACAAAGCAGATCCAAATTAGTCTAGAGTCTAGAGTCTAGAGTAAACTGCAATAACACAATCAGCTCCCACATTCAAATACCGTTTACTAACACACATCATAGGATATTCTAATAGTACAAGTTGAAAGCTTGCTAAACTGAAATTGTCTTGCACGATCACAGTATTTTCCAATGCCACAACACCTTATAAATAGCCACAAGCTTGATAAAGACCGAACCTCGATGACGAGATCTGATCTGTTGTTGCGGCCCGACCTTTCACGACACTCCACCTTCAGCACTAGTAGCCTCTCACCCGCGCACGCGATGTACACGAAGTAGAGGGTTTGAACCTTGCGGCCCAGCACGAGAAAACCAATCTTAACAAAGGTACTCACGCGCAAAACAATTTCTACGAAGAGAAATCGCAACACAGAGGTTTTTTAAAGGTTCCTCCAAAACTTGATACGGGTGTCTACCCTGAAAAACACATCGTGTCTATTTCATAAAAATATCACCTGCCCGTACAATGAACGCCCCATAGCTATATATAATAGCCGGACACTAATTGGCCTATTGCCCTCTCGCACACACGTTATAACAAGTCTAAAAAAAACAAATATATCCCTATACGACTTACACGGCCAAACAATAAAATAAAAGGAAACTTTAACCTAATTTGGACTCTACCATCGGGATGATTATGGACTCTAATTGGATTGGTGCGCCATGCATCTTCTAGTGCATCTCGATCTTCAGGTGGACCCCAACCGACTTCTTTCAAGGAAAGTAAACGCCATGCATCACACGTCCTGCTCGCTTCTGCCTGGAACTTCTCTTTGTGTGGGAAGAATAGAAATAGGAAATCTGCAACCTTCTCCTTAATGCCTTGATCATCTATTAATGAACATGAACCTTCGTGTGTATCATGCAAACCAAGCCCTCCAAAATATTTGTACGTGCATGCATTTTTGCCTGGAAACACGTAGAATTTCTTGTCCTCTCTCAGCCCTTCTAGCTGGAACCATGTAGTGTGCTTCACAGGAATAACGAGTAATTCTTGTTCATCGTTGTAACTTGTCATCAGGTATTCCGATGTATATGTAGCGTATTTTTGGACAACACCGGCTTCAGGCAAAACAACAATGACCTCGGTATTTATATCACAAGGGGTCATATCAAAGCTGGTATCAATAACACGTATTCTTTCATGCTCAAGGAACCCGTCTCGATGTCATACTTACTCTTGTGCCCATCCATGCCATCATAGAGGCTATCTTCTTTCACGTTAACATGGACGCTCTCCGCCATGCCACGCCTATGGTTGATGATTCTCATGGTTGCATACACACACCCAAGGGGGTCTTTTTCACAGGCCATGTTCTCAAACTCCGAGTCACGCCCAGTGAAGTGTATCCCGACCGGATGCACAATTCGAGTCCCCATGGATTCACAGTAAATACAAGGAATTTGCGCTGTGAACACATTAGATGATTAATACATATTGAAGGTTACCGTATAAACTGCATGCAGGTAAAAACAATATTAAAACTGGAAATATTCTGCGGCTTTCAAGTTTCACCATGCATGGAACCATAGAATGTTGACATAAACCATGTGTAATGCATAAAGAAAGGGTGTATGGATGACCGACATAGATGATTTTAAACCATTACAATTTTGTTGGTTGAGGAAATGAGCACGATGGAGAAGGGATCATCCGGCGTCATGCTGATCGCAATGGCAGGCTGTTTGATGGAAATGTTTGACTTTACTAACCTATCAACATGGAGATATTCAAGTAGAGGCAAAGACATTCAACTCTTCCTTTCCTTTTTATCTTTGACACTTCTTTTCTCGATTTTTTTTATTATATTGACTTTACATATGAGGGTTTAGGCTGACGGAGTAATAATAAAACAAAATCAAGTGGTCAGTTGTGGAAAAGATGCCTATATAGCATTGACAACGAGATACACTGAGTAGATAATATATGAAAAATATTGGCATAGGATTGTTTATATAGCATACCAGCACATGGCGGCGGCAGATCCACAGGGCAACAGAAGGACATGCTTCGGTTGTCAGCATTAATTTCAGCAAAAAATAAAGTAGGAGCTTCACCACCAGGGCTTTTGGAAGTAGCCACGAAGTTGACGTGAGAGTGGCCATGGCGATGAGGAGGCCATGGAGCAGGGCCGCGGACCCGATCATTCACAACACAAATCATATGAAGCTTGAACTTGGGATCCTGTAATTCAACATTTGATGAGCATAGGCGGTGGATGAGAAATGTTAGCAATAACCAACAACAGGCAGAGCAAACCTACCCCGTTTGGCATCTGTTGATATTTATTCAGCAGAGCATTGACCTCCTTGGAGATGACTGTATACAGGCTCGCTAGCTCTGCACGTGGGTAACATTTGAGGGGGACTGGGGGAAGTGGAAGTGCCTTGTCATACTCATAGAGGGGATTGCAAGATAGAAACCTGGCAAGCAGGCTTAAATCTTGAAAGGAGAGCTTGTGAGAGTCAATAGGCAGCAGAGACAAGACAGGACTCGGGTCCACCTTGCAACAAGAAGTGAGAAGCTGTGCTTGAGCGTCTGGGTTGGGGTGACAGGCCGCGGTGGCGGCGGCCAAGAAGGCTTCCTCAATACCAGTGTCCGGGTGTCCTACAGTGAGACCAGTGTTGGGGGGGGCTTGAGTTTGGAGCTTGCAACGAAAGGCAGAGGCTGGTCCATGCCTCAGCACATCTCTCACGATACCAAAGTCGTAGACAAGGTTAGTATCAGTCACAAGGTTGGGATCAGCGAGCACAAGGTTGGCATCTGCCTGGAGCAGGCAGCGCACGGCTTGATGGAAATCAAGTTCATGGTAACGTGTGCAGAGGAAGGAGACCATGCCGTACAAGGAGCGGTTCTCCACCCTGTGGAGGCTCCGCGTGCCCATGACATCCAGCTCGAGTTTCATGGAGGGTGGGAAATTGGCATCATACCAGATGGTGTTGATGATGATGTTGGAGACGGGGTCGAACGGGCCGTAGCAGTAGCCGGCCTTAATCAGGCTGCGGTGGAAGCGAGAGCCTGGTGGCAGCAGGGCAAGGGCCTGGAGGTAGTACCCGTGGATGGTGTCCTGGAGCGTCCGGTTGAGCAAGTTGGTGTGCAGTTGCGGCGCGCTGCGGGGACGACGGCGAAAAGAAGCTTCTGCGAGCCGCCACACAAGCCACACATCTCTTTCACGGGACGGCGGTTCATAGTTAAGCATATGGACGAGCTTAATAATGGCGTCAGAGCGGCGCAACCTTTGCGGTTCGTGCAACGCGGCGAGGAGGCGCAGGGCGTCGTCTATGCGGCTGGAGATGTTGCACCAGGAGAAGACGAAGCGGTAGGCGTCGGGGTGCCTGGCGGCCAGCCCGGCGCACCTGAGGGCCATGTTGATGACGTCTGGGCCGGAGGCATCGAAACCCTCGATGCACTGATCCGACACGACGATGCAGGCGGCAATGAGGACGTCCGCCTTGGCGAGTCGCAGGTAGCGCACGGCCAGGCCCTCCGACAGGTTGGGGAATAAGCGGGTGAGGAAGACAACCATGCCGTCAAGCGACCGGCGCTTCAGGTCATCCTCTACCACAACCTCGCAGGTGGTAGATCTATGGTCGCGGTCGCGCTCGCGCTCGTGCTTGCGCTCGATGAGACTGTTGATCACGATGTTGGATGCCGGGTCGAGGAGGCCGACGCAGAGGCCCTGCAGGCGGTGGCTGCGCCCGAGCAGCTTCTGCGCCTTGCCGTAGTAGGAGCGGATTTTCTGCAGCAGATAAGATCTGGACTTAGACTCTTCCTTGAGCCGGGGTTGCTCGGAAGCGAAATTCGGCTCGTAGATCCGGAGATCCGGATGGCAAGGGTTGGACACCCGCGCCATCGCAGGCGGCCAAGGAGAGACAGAGGGGACTGGATTGTTGTGGGTTGGTCCGGTGGCGGCGGCGCGAGGTAAGGGGAACGGAGGAACAAGGATATCCAACTTTTTTTTTTTGAGAATACAAGGATATCCAACTCCTCCTCCTTTTCTCTCTCCCACCTAAACCACCTCGCCTCTGGGTTTGGGCCCAAATATGTCTCCAAACCGCCTCTGCGTAGCCTGGCCGGACTCCGATTTCTTCCCCTTCAGGGCTTACTTATATGTCGTCCGTACCGATTCCTAATCGCCGGACGACGGCTGGCCTAGTAACGCGGATGGTTTGCCCTTTTTTTTTCTTACTAGCAAATATGCCCGTGCGTTGCAACGGGAGGAAAAACTATCAAACTATGCGGGAGTGGTAGAGAATGGCTTTTAAAATGCCAAGGTGAGATAAGGGCTTTTAAAATGTCATTTCAAAAACTATGTCTAAGTGATGTCATGATGAGATAAGAGACTTTTGAAAAGTCATTTCAAAAAAAAAGTGATGGTTTGACCATGATTTGATTTCCTAAGGCGCCACAACGAATTAGTTTTGGCTGAGTAAACTGCATTGATGAACCCTACCTAAGCTAGACTGATGAATGATGTATATAATCTTGACCTAGCGTAGCGGTGGTTGTCATAACAATTACCATGATACCAGAATAAACATAGCTATGTATGGAGGCAAAATAGACATTTAGTCATTTTATATAGTTTACAAAAACTAACCCATAAAAAATTGTGTCAATATTTTTTGGCTTCAGCGTCGTACGAAACATGGAAACCTTTTTTTTACCCGATGCGAGGGACTAAATAAAATCATAAATTGAGCTCTACAGATCCCCTATTAAAACTTCGACGCAGGCGATGTTTCGTTTTGTTCATCATTTACGGGCCTGTTTTAATTTTGGAAACATTTCAAAAAAATCATGTATATTTTTTTTCTAATTCCAGAATGTACTTTGAATACTGGATTTTTTAAAAAAATCATGCTTTTTTCATGAACATCTAGTTGATATTGTGATTTTTTTTTATGATATGCGATTTTTCTTTGAAATCATGAACAATTTATGATTTCTCAATAAATCTCGCAGCTTTTTGAAATTTGGTTCTTTTGAAAATCCTGAATGATTGTAAAGAATGAAAAACAAAAACAGAATTAAAAAGGTAAAAAGCAAAAAACGAAACAGAAAACAGGCGCAACCAGCCGCACATGGGCCGGCCCATTAGCGCGTCGAGGAGGAGGAGGCACGCCATGTACATTTTTTTCTAATTCCAGACTACTGGATTATTATTTTAAAATCATGATTTTTTTATTTCATGAACATCTATTTGATATTCCGAATTTTTTCTATGATATGCAAAAAATATTTTGAAATCATGAATATTTTATTACTTCTCAATAAATCCCGCAGCTTTTCGGAATTTTTTTCTTTAAAAAATCCTGAATTAATTTAAATAAGAAAAAACAAAAAACAGAAATAAGGAAATAAAAAGCAAAAAAAAAGAATAGTAAACAGGCCACCCCCCAGCCAATTATGGGCCGGCCTATTAGCGCGCGGGGGTGGAAGACCTGCGTGGCAAAAAGGTGTAGGAACCAGGGATCGAACGCTGGTCTCCTGCGTGGTAGGCCGACACCATGGCCATTGCGCTACCGGAGGATTGTGTAATATAAGTGTATCGCCCCGTAAGAAATAAACCCGTGGTGATTTTGAAATAAATCCGAATCATGTTACTTATGGATGGCATGGCGGGTAATTTATGCCAAATTCGAGGGCAATTTCTATGACGGACGACCAGAAGCACTATTTGCTTTATTAGTAAAAAAATAAAAAAAGGTAAAGATAAAGATAAAGAGGTAAAGATATACTTTTTCGTTTTCTTTGGTTTATTTTTTTTCATCGGTTTTCTGTGGTTTTAATTTGTTTCCTTTTGCTATGGTTTTCTTTATTTTCTCATTGGTTTCTTCTTTTTCTATCTTTCTATGTTATATTTTGGTTTTCATTTTCTGTTTCTCTGTAGGTCTTTTACCTGTTTTCATTTTTGAACGCATGTCTATTTTTTTCTCGGTACACGATATATATTTTTGGGAGCACAAATGAAACATTTTATGCTATATGTTTGACATTTTTTCAATACATGATGTACATGTTTCTCACTTTTTAACACTTTTTTAAATACATGCTTTATACATTATTTTTTTAAAGTTCGCATGCATTCTTTTGAAACACGGAAACATTTTTATACAGGCATGAATATTTTTTTATTGAAAGTTATCAGCATTTTATGAAAAATACACTAACAAACTTCTTATACTAGGTTCACATGTTCTAATACATGATTATCATTTTTTTTCAAATACATATTTTGATGATTACTTTTTTCCTACACATTTGTACAATTTTCATGTACATCATGAACATTTTTTATACATGCTTAACTTTTTCTCAAATAGGTGGTTAACTTTTTTTTTAAATGTGCAGTGACCACATTAAAAAACTAAAAGGAAAATTGGAAGATTAAAATTAAAAACAAAAGAGAGAAGAGAAAAAATAACAAAAAAAATTAAAGAAAAAAAGAGTAAAGGAAAACATGACGTTAGCGCTAGTGTGCCAGCCCATGAATCGGTTCCCTACATTTGAGACTACCCATGCAGGGAGTAACATAGGTAGTAAACGTATTGGATGTACATCAAGAACATTTCTTATACATGCTTAACATTTTCTCAAATAGGTGGTTAACATGTTTTTAATGTGCAATGGGCACATTAAAAAACTAAAAGGGAAATCAGAAAATAAAAATTTAAAAGAAAAAAGAAAAGAAAACAAAAATGACGTTAACACTATTGTACCGGCCCAAGAATCGGTTTCCTACACTTAGACTACCCATACTCGGAATAACATAGATGCCACCTAAGCAAAAAAAATGAGGTAACGGCTAATTAATAAGAGAGACAAATAAAGTAACATAGGTAGTTACCATCATAAGGCACCTCCCAAGAAAGAATGAGTCTACAAGAAAATAAATGAGGCCATATATGATACTATCTTTATATTAGTTTGCACTATGAAGATAGTAACGTGAACTAGTAACAGCAACGTGAACTAGTAACATATGCATGTTACTGATCTAAGTTACTCCCTACTATGACTAGTCTAAGGCAAGCTTTTACCTCCCTACTATGACTAGTAGACTGCCTGTGCGTTGTCACGGGCATTTGAAAATTTATATTGGTTGCATGTAAAATTATACATACATAGAAAGATAGGCAATAACAAATAAAAAAATAATTGAAATCTAATTCGCTGCAATGTACTTCGATAAAAAAAGTAATTCATACCTATACACCTGATGCACAAAATAAAGAAGGTGGTACACAAACATTGAACTCTTTATTCTGCAATGCATTACAAATGATAATAACACTTGAATGCCTTTTTTTAATTCTTAAAATCGATTGCCTCATGAAAGCAAGTGCATTGTTATTATCCATTAATTAAAAACAACACATGAAGGATTTTTTTCCTTTAAACAAATGTCCAAGAAGTTACAACCAGAAACTTAATTGCAATATGCAATTGCCTGGCAAACTATTACATAATATGGATTTAAGGGCTTGAAACCATACAATTTATCATTTAGAAAGTACTACAGAAAACACAACTTCTAGAACATGCTACTCCTACCTCTCTTGTGACAGGTAGACATATCAATCTTTGATAACATTTTTTGTTTAAAATTTTATTGGCATTTATTTGTATTTTTATAACACTTTTTCAATTTTATTTGAGTTATGTAACTTCATATTTGGTGTACCGGCTCAAAAGGATTTTCACATAAAACTCAAAAGAAAATGGGTGTGTTGTAATAGGAGCTATGCCATAAAAGGGAAGTGAGCAACTCCTATTCAAACACCAACCAACTCAAGAGAAACCCTAATTAGACATACACTTAAACATTAACATCAAATATAAGGGTGAAAGGGTGAATGGCATGGAGCATCAATTGCGAATAAAAAGGCTAAAACTTGCCCAGAAAATACACTCCCTCCATTCCTAAATTTAAATATTTTTAGAGATTCCAATATGACATACAGATGTATATATATACATGTTTCAGAATATAGAGTTCACTCATTTTACTTCGTATGTAGTCCACATTGGAATCTCCAAAAAGACTTATATTCAGGAACGGAGGGAGTAGGTCACAACTCACAAATTCACAACATACTTTCTCCTTGTATTAGCACAAAAGTCAAATAATGCACGGTAGGACTGATGAGAAGGTATATAATATTAGTCTTATTGGTTGTTCATTATTCTATGAGAGAGAGAGAGAGAGAGAGAGAATCGACACCCCCAAATTGTCTCGTATGTCTAGGCTATCCGAAAACCCATTCCATATGTGAGAAGGAAATAGGTAAGCACATCTATAGACAGCACGCTAGATCCGGCAAAGAAACACAGTTTTCTAAAATATTACAAAGCATCCCAATGATTTGACGTTATGAATTGCTACGAACTTAAATGCTTAATACAATCAACAGAAAAGCTACCAGCATGCTTCTCCATTTTGAGCCAGTCCACCTATTGAGGACTTCTTGGTTAAAACCTGCAATCATTCTATATAGCCTGCAAAATAGGAGGTAAATATCAGAAAATAATGTACAAATAATAATTTCAGAAATATTAAGGGAAAATATTTTAGGCTATGAAAGAAAATCATCCGCACAAACCACAAGACCTTTAGCTTGATAACAACAAAGTTCAAACAATCAGACGTAACACATGAGGCAGAAGTCTTTCATGATAAATTGGTAGTGGCTCACCTCCGCTCGATGTCGTCCTCTGTCTTTGTTGTGTCGCTCCTTTTGAGTGTTGCTTCTACCGCTGTCCACTTGGTGAGCGCACTACTGACCCATCCTCACAAACAGAGCAAACTGCCAGAGCCCAAAGTTTGATGATGTTGATAGGATGCGCTTG